CCCTGTGCCCCGTGCTCTGGGTGTCCCTGCTGGAGCAGGGGGTTGGACTGGATGGTCTCTAGAGGTCCCTGCCAACCTCAGCCGTTGTGCGATTCTGTGAATTCTGATCTCTGCATGGCCAGGCAAACAGGTTCTTCTCAGCCTCTGACTGCAGTAACCAGCTTCTCTGGTCCTCTGTGGCAGGTCGGTAAGGAAATGTACCTGTGTTCAGAGATGATCTGTTGGGATCATCCCTTCAGTCTGTTTGCCTGGGAATGTTCCTAGTTCTGATGACATACAGATCAGCTCGAAGTCCAAAACAGAACATTTCACAGACTGGGTTAGATAAGGGCAAAACATCCATTGACATGTGAATTTTGAATGTTGTTACGTTACAGCAACATGTAAATGACATTCAGAAGTTGCTGCTTAAGACTTACAGCTGTTAACCTGATCTTTGCACTGTGAGTGCTGCCGTTTGACCGTGTGGTTTCTGAAGAGTCARTCTTTCTTAAATGTTTTGAGGGCTTCATTCTTCTGATTCCCTAATGTACTTTTTGCAACTTTTGCAAAAACAGTGTTATTCCTTCATATCAATGGACACATTATAATGCTAATTCAGAATAGTTTTTAAAGCACCTTTAGGTGCCTGAAGAGATAACGGTATTGAAGCTTTGCAAGGTATTTCTTAGTGTTAGTAGAAAACGTCAGCAAAAAGATTAAGTAAAGGAGCCTGCGGGTATAATTTACATGAACTTTTAAAAGCTTTTGGCCAAACCTTGCCCAAGAAACCAAGGCTCAGGCATGTATCAGAGCTTAGGTTCCACCTAAGTCCCTGGGCTTGTGTTTRCTCTCAGCTGACGACAGGGAGCATTTAGATCTGATTTAGACTGTGTTCATCTATGGTTCCTGAGTATAAACTCCAAATGCACAGGCTCTGCCGTGTTTTTAACTCGGCCGCTACCATTTAGCTTTCCCATATGACCAGTGTGCGTTCTTTGTGCTGCCTTACGCTTTGTGTAAGGATAAGGAATGACGGTGTCCCGCCTGTGGTTTGCTGTTCTGCAGGTATCCAGCTCCGCAAGGTGGAGGAGCAGCGTGAGCAGGAAGCGAAACACGAGCGCATTGAGAACGATGTTGCCACCATCCTGTCCCGCCGCATCGCTGTGGAGTACAGCGACTCGGAGGACGATTCAGAGTTTGACGAAGTGGATTGGCTAGAGTAAAACGATCACATTGCTGTACACTGCAAAATCGAATGCTAATGTCCATTGTGGTGCTTGTCCTTTGAAAGTTTGATGGTCATTTCTAGTGTTTTTTGTATTYTTTTCTTTACATAATTAATCCATGTTTTTCTACTTTTCAGTTTACACAAGAACTCCTAGTGCATCTTTGAAACTAAATGTTTTACGGTGGCTTTTCTTACACATCTTTTTGAAAGAACATACTTTCTTCCAATAGACCACTAAGTATTAAGCATGGGCAGCTGTTGGTAGAGTAGCAGTTTCAATTTTTTGGCATATCTTAACTGTGCACTTTGTGAATTTTAAGTTAATGAAGGCAACTGAGATTGACATTCCAAGGGCAGCTGTATGTACTAATGAGCCTTATTCCACTTTTGATAATGTTTTAAAAACATTAAGCTATCAAGATAYCACTGCCTCGATTACATCTGTACACTAAAAGTACATATAGTTAGCAGCACTGAACACACTGAAAGGAAAATGGATCTTTGGGGGGTTTATTATTGTTTTATTGTTGTTTTTAAATAATTATGGCCTTATTTGAATGTTTAGAGATTCCCTTTCCCCTTCCTCCTTCCCAGGTACATATTGTGTGGTACTATTTTTGCCTGCATATTAAAGTTTAATTTTTTTTTCCTTGTGAAATCTTCTGACTTAAACATGCTGTGTAACTTATGTAACTGTTAAAATAACAGTTTGATTTAATAAATGGTTCATTTTAAATGTCCATCGGTGTTGCTTTTTCAACTGAAGCCTCTCTTTCGCTGGTGTAACTGAGAGATCCTGGGTTGTCAAGGATTTATGTGGCCTGCACGTGACGGTGAGTGTTGAGCCCCTGTTCCCTGTGGCTCTCTGAATCAGTAAGTTGCGTATCAGAGTGCATGTGGGATGTTTAAAGAAAAAGAAAGGAGGGGGAGCTTGTAGCCTAAAATATTTGGGTGTTTTATAAACAAGATCTAGAACAACTGCAAAGCAGCTACTGTTCACAGCAGGAACTTTGTAGATTTTCTCTAATGGGCCAGTTTTGTTGGTGGATACTGYGGGCAGCAGCCTGCACTGTCACAGCAGCAGCCGGCAGTGTCCAGGCCCTGCCTGTTAGGAGAGGATCATCTCCTCACTGCCCCATCGGGCCTGTGTTTTAGGCTTGCTCTGCCCCCGTCCCAGCTCTTGACAAAAGTCCTTCCTGACAGATGGGATCCTGGCAGCATCAGGAGGATGTTGCCAGCAGGTCAAGGGAGGGATCCTGCCCCTCTGCTCAGCTCTGGCGAGGCCCCGCCTGGAGTAGTGGGAGCAGTTCTGGGCTCCCCAGGACAGGAGGGACGTGGAGCTCCTAGAGAGGGTCCAGCAGAGAGCGACAAAGATGATTAAGGGACTGGAGCATCTCTGGTATGAGGAGAGGCTGAGCTGGGCCTGCTTTCTCTGGAGAAGGCTGAGAGGGGATCTCATCAATATGTGTAAGTACCTGAGGGGCTTATAGCGAGGAGGGGGCCAAGCTCTTCTCAGTGGTGGCCAGTGACAGGACAAGGGGCAATGGGTACAATTGAAACCCAGGCAGTTCCATCTCMATGWRAGGAGGAACTTCTCCCCTGTGAGGGTGCCAGAGCCCTGGCACAGGCTGCCCAGGGAGGCTGTGGAGKCTCCTTCTCTGGAGAYCTTCCCAACCYGCCTGGATGCCGCCCTGTGCCCCGTGCTCTGGGTGTCCCTGCTGGAGCAGGGAGTTGGACTGGAGGGTCTCTAGAGGCCCCTGCCAACCTCAAYCACTCTGTGATTCTGTGAAAGGGCTGTTACTGGCCCTGGTGATGAACAGCACCGTTTCCAAACTAGTAGCCGGGGCAGCCAAAGCACTGGACAGTGCCCAAGTTAAAGGCAGGAGCTAAACTCGGTTAAGGTTTCRGTCAGGATTCTGGCCTCCTGCCACAGCTGCAGCTTCCTGCCGTAGCACCTGGGCTCCTGCTACCGRAATCCYCTAACGAACTCACTAATGAATTCACATCAGTGAATTCACTAATGCGCCACCAATTCACTGGTGGTGAGAAGTGCCTGTCAAATTGGAATACCTGCATTTATAGGTGGACTCCAGGAGAAGCCTTGGCCGTCTCGGGGATGCGCATCCCTGTGCCTGGGCTTCCTAGCTGTCCTCTCACGTGGTGGAAGCGCCTTTGGAGGCTGCCGGGCTGGTTGTGCGAGTGATTAGGGGTGTAAYAGATTATTGACTGCGTTGTCTTGTAAGACACTAAATCAGATTTTCTATATTGACCTGTTTGTAGATTGCAGTGTTTGCTTCTGTGCACTTACAGCAGCTGGTTGAAAGCAAAGACTCCGAGTCTGTAGCAGCAACAACGTGCCCGGGATGAGGTGTGATGTCAAGGAAGAGGAAGGAGCCTCTGTCAAACGTCAAGCTGTTCCCGACCGCAATCTGTGACTGGTAAAGGATGGGAATGAAAAAAGAATGAAAAAAAAAAAAAAAAAGAAAAAAAAACCCTACAGAAGTAGCATGAGACAATGGATAGCAGAGCCGGAGGGGGAGACTAAGGATTTGCAGAATTGGTTATTTGCAGGTTTTATTCAAAAGACAAAGTAGTGACAGCGAAGGAGCCATCACAGAATAAGATTAAGAGGTAAATGGAAGAGAAAAATTACTAAAGGAGCAAAAATGACAGACACAGTGCTGGTTCTGCTGTTCATTTTGCCCTGTGAATAACAGCCTTTAAATATTAGCTGCCAGTAAGAGATGAAATAGTATCCCATTAAATTGGGGTGCAAGGAGTAGGAGGCGGTTTTTGGTGCAGGGAGGACTGCTCATCCCACAGGGAGCCAAGGCACCTTTGCCTGCCTGCCTAAGGTTTTCACAGAATCACAGGATGGTTGAGGTTGGAAAAGACCTCAGAGATCATCCAGTCCAACCCCTGCTCCAGCAGGGACACCCAGAGCACGGGGCACAGGGCGGCATCCAGGCGGGTTGGGAAGATCTCCAGAGAAGGAGACTCCACAGCCTCCCTGGGCAGCCTGTGCCAGGGCTCTGGCACTGTTAAGAAATTTTTCCTTAAGTTCCTGTGGAGCTTTTGGTGCCTCATGTTGTGGTTGTGAAGACTTTCACAGGTTTCACACGGTGCCGAAGGCCTGCTCTGTGTCCACCTTTGCTGTGGTCCAGGGGACCCATACAAACATCATTTCCATTTTCCATCCCACGTTTTAATGACTATTCCGGGCTATGATTCCAAAGCCCATAAGGAAACCCAAGGTGCTGCRAAGGCTTCATAGGAGCCACGAGCAGGTCCGACCGGGAGCCGGCACTTCCCTCGCTGCGTCCAGGACCAACATCCCAATGGGGCTTCAAGAGAGGTRCCAAGGAAGCCCTGCCTTGCTCCTATGTTCTTTTCCCTCCCCTGTACATTTTTAATAGCCCCTATTTCCTACATAAATTTCATTAGCTGGATTTATGCGGTCRCTAAACCGCTTGCTGCAAGTATTACACTCACAGCAGGATATTATTCGCCATTCCGGTGAAAGCGAGCACTTTCCGGCTCTTTTCTTGCCAGCCAGGAGAATTACAATATCAGGGCATTAATAACCRGCTGAACTGAAGGAGTTTTTGATTCATGGTAATTACTGATTACACGCAGATCACTTTATGGCTTTAATGCCTCGGTCTCCCACTGTTTGCTTGCCAAACCGCCCATGAAAAGAAACGGAGGGATCATAGGGATCGTACGGGTAATTTGCTGATTCCCTTAAGGAGAGCAGAGCGGAGCTGACTCCGGCTCCGCTGGGGACAGTGTCGGGAGGTGGCAGCACCTCCCTGCCGGTGTAGGAAACAGGAGAAAAGGAGCAAATCCTGCTGCTTTTTATGGGATGAACACGGGATACCCTGGAGCAGCCAGGCCCAGCCCCATGGGAATCACACTCTGTCCATGGGCTGCAGTGACRGCCGGGGGTCACGGCTGCCGCCCCAGCTCCATTCCCACGCTGGCAAGGCCGTGAGCTGTAGGGAAGAAGGAGCAAAATCCCGAATCCTGGTGGCTTCCTGGAGCCAGGACTCCATAGCCGGAGCCAGGAGCCCTCCCGCTGCCAGCCTGGCGCTGCTTGGGGGGGTTCACGCCCCAGAGAACGGTGCTCCTGGGCTCAGCGCTACGTCCCCGTGCTCAGCGCTCCAGCTCCCTGCAAACCACGGGGCAGTCCCAACCCCAGGGAGCTTGTTAGCTCTTGTAGGCACTTCAAAAGCCCACAAATACCTGGGAAACCTGAAGTGATTTGGGGGAAGGGGACAGCACGGCTTGGGAGCCCGGGACCCCCGGAGCCATCATGCCCAAGGCCCAGGACACCCCTGCAAACTGGGCCTAGGCAGCTTCCCCTTGCTTGCACAAAACCCCAAGCRTTGGAGAGCAAAGGGAACCCAAGAGGCTCGTGTGAATACGCACTGGGACCACATGGTGCAGCTCCCAGCATGACCAGAGCAAGGGGAGCACCAGGTCATCAAGGGCGATCTCCCCTACTTGGTGGGAAGAGCCAGACTTAAGTCCCAGTTTTCATGTGGTCCTGTTTAAAGGACCTGGTCCGTCTCTCAGCATAAGGGAGCAGGAAGCACAAGCCAAGGCTGAGCAGGAAAACTCCTCCATGCTCAAATCACCCCAATGTCCTGAGGAACCCACTGGCTGAAGGCCTCGCACCCTGGTGCTCCCCAAGACCAGCTCTGCTTCYTCGTCACGGCCAGCAGGACGGCCGTGTGCAGACTTGCCTTGGGACAAGGTGCCAGATCCATTAGAAATAAATATGACTGAGGTGAATAGAGGCCACTGACAGCATTTAAATTAAATGACATCTCCATTCCTCGTGAACTTCTCCACGCAAACAGTCGAAGCTGCACCTTTAGCAGCAGCCGGATATTGAGGCAGCAGCTCCTGCGATTTCACCAGCTTGTTTAAGTGCTGATTTTCCTACCACAACTTTTATTTAGTTTTTTAGTTTATTTAGTGCAAAAAATCACACAGATTATTTTTGTAAAGTTGCTCATTTTCTTTTGGCTAGGTGGCTGTTGGTTAGACTTTTGTTGTCACTAATAACTGCACAGGTTTCAGTGCCACATACCTTTCAGTGTCACATACCTTTCAATGTCACATACCTTTCAGTGTCACATACCTTTCAATGTCACATACCTTTCAGTGTCGCATACCTTTCTAACAACATCAGCATTTTTAACAGCACGGAAAGAGAAATCCAGTATCTCCCCAACCATCTCTTCAAGGGAAAGTCAATATGAAAAGACAGCCGTAAAGTAACAMAAACTCTTACTGCCAAGCACATGGTTAGGCTAAACACTTTGATTAACTTGCTCACCAGAAAGTAAATACACCCACAGGACAACGTATTTTGTCAGGGAGGTGGCTACACAGCAGCAGGATCACACCAGTCATGGCCATCGAACCAGATAGGTCTTCACTTGGTCCTTGCCCTCCCCAGCCCATTTCATCCGTGGGGCTCATGGGAGGGCAGTGCCAAGCGATGCTCCTCTTAGCAAAGTTGCTCAGAGCTGGTGACATCTAAAGGCTTTTGCTGCACAGGGTGACGGGGGAGCCCGTTTCCRTGTGGCACCATTGGCTCTCCCTGAGCCTGAAAGTCTCCACTGCCCATTAAGCACCAGGACATTCAACAACTTTACTGATAACTGCCCAAAGTTGGGGTTAAAAATAAACAAATCAAGACCTGGGCAGCGATACCTGATGAAGGGA